AACATTTCTCCCAATTTTTTTTCGTTCTTGTTTTTCTAGAATCTTCAGCACCACGCGAGTTTTGAGATGTTTTCATTAGTTAAGCACCACCAACAACTGCAGCAGGGCGCTACCACAATATATAGAGGCATATCTTAAGACTAACAAGTAAGCGTAGCAAGAGCCACAAGTTTCTCCTCCCCCGCTAGAGAATTAGTCTCGTTTTTACCAAGAAGGAGAGTTCGAAGCGGTTCCAAATGCAGTGCTATGACAATACGACAATACACCCCTAACTTGTGATTGCGCCCTGCAGCAGTATTCCTAATCATCAAACTTGGGGAAAACAATGGGAGCACATGTAAAACATTGACGTGACAGACGAGCAGGCCGCAGAAAAAAACAAACGTCTCTAAAATTCTAGCGGTGCGGAGCTCCATTGCAAATCGAAAAAAAATGTAAAAATTACCGTTCGGAACATCAAATTGCAATGACTACATCCGTAGAATAGCCGATCCGGTGTGGCATGTGCTTGACGATGATGCTCGTAAAGCGGCGTATTATAGGCAATCGACGAGCACTCTCCACACGACACCGAACCCGTGGGACCATGGGACATCTGAGAAAAAAACTATTGTAAAAAACCAACAACAAACACATATAAAAATATTGTACGATCTAGAACAGAACAATTGAGCGCCCGACCGCTCTTCGACCCTGATGATAACGATCATCATTCGTTATGGGGATCGCGCATTGGACCACACATCGATTGGCAAGGAAGGCTCCACAAGAAGCGCAAAAATAAGTTCGCGCCTCTAAGGTGCAGAACTAAATGATAAAAATGAATGAAGTGGCCAGATAGACATCAATAGTTTCTTCTGCCCTTCAACCACGACATGGATTTTTCGATCGCGCCGAGCCACCACGAATACATTTGCGTTTACCATTGACCTAACCAGCCTACCGTCGTCCAGAGCAGCGTTCGGTTGATGATAAGAAAAGGATACGCATGATTTCTCGCTCACTCAATTGCGCGATCACCTAATCGATGCGTATTCCTTTCCTTATAGACTAATCACCTAATCACAAGTACGATCGCATACTCGCAAGGCTGCCTAATCGCCTGAAAACCTTGGTTAACGCCCTGCTCATTTAAGACGACTCACTAACCGCAGGCTGAAGACTCCGCCTACATTACACAACTTGATCACGTCGACCTCTCTTTTCAATTTTTTAAAATTATCCGCCTGCCTCCATGAAAACCCACTTCATTCACTACGAACTGTTTACAAAACAAATGTCAACAACAGCTGTGAGATTATAAGCATCCACCATTTTACGAAATGGCACTACAGTTTCACTCACTCGATGTATTTTGAACTGCTGCTGACTTTCGAATGCTGCACAACAATTACGGCAGATGAAAAAGAAGCCTCGCACAGGTACACCAAACACCTAAACAGCAGCAATGAAAAACCTGCAATGATCCCAATTCGAGATCACTTCTTACCTTGTCACAGATACCACCAGCATCTGTGCTGTGCGCAGACGCTTCATGCGTTTTCATCGCATAAGTAGTAATAAATGATAAACTGCACTTTGGACACTTGAACCTCTTCTCACGACCACCCGCCGCTGCTGCTGCGCTGCTTCCGGGTGCACTAAAGATTTCCGAATAAACACTACTCACAAACTTCAGTTTGATATACACAAATCATTATCTTAATGAATCGAGTCAGAAGACTTCATTTTCTTAAGTCCGAAAAAGAACCATTCCAACTCACTATTCGACTTCTGCAACTACTTTGAGGTCTTCGTCTGCAGTTTCATCCTCGACCGGCTTCACGACAGCAGCACCTGCTGCAGCACTTGGTGACGGCTGAACAAGGAAATTTGGCAACCATCAATACGAATCTCAAAACCCTTATATGAACAAAATGCTCTTCCGAATTTTCAGAGTATCGAGCGATTCGACAAGCCCTAATGAACTTTACAAAAAAACCACTAATGTAAGTGCCGTGTTCGTGTGTTCGTGTTATGTGGATTGTTTGCATTCTTCGCGCCGTTTCCATTCCCAATGCTCGCGTGCAACCTAAGTCTCAAGCCGTCCAACACACGCAGAAAACGTTCCCCGGTTCGTACTCTCGCAAAAATGTGGCCGGCTCAGTCCCGTTACATAGCGGCGATTACCGATCGCGATTGCACGACCTCAGTTCAATATTCGCCGCGTACACGGTCTGTGGCGTGACCCTTGGGTTGATTAGTTACACTTTATTCACCGTATTTGCCCTAGCCTTGTTCACACAGGTCGAACTATCCATTGCCTTTTCAAGCTTTGTGCGGTACGATTCATTATTTTTCTTCGAAGAGCATGAGTGCTCCAGAATTGGCGAAAAAAATTAGAACCACAAGTACACGACGCCGGCCCTGCTCGCGGCGAATATTGGGAGTAACGGTCGCACCGCTTGCAATCACAACCGCAATTCGCTGACTATAAACATGACCTTAGCTTCGTCTTTTAGTCGTCACGAAACAAACTGCACGTTTTAAGAAGAGTAACAATACTGGAGGTGAGCCGCTTTTTGGGGACAACAGACAAGAACAGATACCGGGTCCTATGGTCTGGAGTGAATTCCCGGATAAAGGCGAGAATTTACGGCCGTAAATCCTTTTTTCCTTCTGTACCTAACCAGATCCACACCAGCTTTAGTCATCGTCTACTAGCAACGTTCAATGCGACCAACAGCGCAACCTCACCTCAGCTGCGATGCACTCAATCGCATCATCCTCGTCATCCTTCCACATAACCTGGCAATCCTGATCCAGCATCTACAACAGCGTCTGCTGCCTCTACACGAACTTCAGCCGAAAGAGCAGCCTGTGTCACATCGGCACTCTCCACAAGATCATCGTCTACCCGAGGGCTATCTGAAAGCGTAAAGAATCATTGCGATAGGCTACAATGTGCACAACACACTCATAACCTCAACTCACCGATTTCAATTATGTCATCATCCACCTCCAACCCCGTCTGAGTTTCCAACTGTGGCGACGAGTCTTTCGAAACATCGTACGGTTCACCAAGCTGCTCACAGACGCTGCGAACCAGATGTCGCATAGTCACCGCAATATCCATATTTACTAAACAAAGCACGATTTGTTACGCAATGCCCGAAGTTCATATTCGAACGATTGCCCGAGAAAAGCGGAGCTTTTTTCATCTGAACCGTTGAGTTTGACAAACGAAGTTAAGAGACCAATGGACGGGCGCAGAGGGCACGATCCAAAGTTGACCGTGCCATTCCCGCTTGCTCAACTAATCGGAAACCCCCTCCTCCACCCCACCACCATAAAGCAGCTGAAAAAAAGCCCCAGGCAGCTGATCATCAAAAATAAGTCCAAAATCGTACTATTACAAACATAAGGAAAATTAGTCAAATTCTATAGTCTCTAAACTCAC